TACACTCTTAAAGAATATGGTTCTTCAAGGATTCTGTAATAAATGGTTGAAATCATTCTTCAGATTGATGGAGAATGTGTTGTATATGGTACTATAAAGCACCAAAAAGGGTTCTTCTGTTGTTACAAGCTTGACATCGCAGAACACTATTTGTTGCCACCACTGGTCTCCAAGGTACACATTATATTAAGTTAAACTGCTATACGTGTTGTTTAAACAGGTTCCAAAAGGGAACTGAACTAACCTGATTCTGTTGTTGACTTTAAAGGATTATCCGATAATGCGTATCTGACTTGTAGAAAACGTCCAGATTTGATTACCTGTCTTTACACAGGACCACTCTAGAGAGAGAGCACTGCTAGCTTCAGAATGACCATCTGAAAATGACCAGAATTCACAAAAATGCATTAGCAAATAAAAATGCTTTTGTCTTAATTTGAATTAACTGAATCATTTACATTGATTTTTATACTGTCTTAGGAACAAGTTGCAGTCTGGCAGTCTGCACTCTTAAAGAAGGTTCTTCAAGGGTTCTTTAGTAAGTGGTTCTTCAGATTGATGCTGTATATGCTTCAATATAGCACCAAAACGGGTTCTTCTGTTGTTTCAAGCTTGACATCACAGAACCCCTTTTAGTGATACATAGAACAATTTTTAAAAAGGTTCATAACATATTCTCCATATGCAACTCCTTTGTGCTACCCCTGATAAAGTTTTCTAGATCTACCATGGTCATGGAGAAGAGAAAGAGCCGTTCTTTTTGCTGTTTGTGATGATGACTAGTGTTCTCTTGCATGATTGGAGGCCACATTAATTTGCATTAATGTGCTCCACAGAAGCAAATGGCAGAGCTCTCCACTCTTTTTTTTTTGGACTTCAAATGTAATTTGCAAATATAGTAATCTGTATCCTACGATCCGACACAAGTACAAACAATTTAAAACTTACAAAGTTCACAGAGTGCTTTACAGAGAGGAAAATGTTAAAGTGCGAGAGTAATATAATGCAATTCAAAACATGTGATATAAAATACAAAGACAATTTGAACAAAGTAAAATAAGAAGACAGAGTATCAGAAGAGTTTCTGAGGCTGTGATGCACAGTGGACTGCTTTTGTCAGTTTTACTTAGAATCATGTTTACTTTCAGTTTTACTTACAATCATGTAAAAATGAAACTGAAAACTGAAAAATATAATAAAAGACTGAGAAGTAAAATTAAATAAATATTAAGTACTCAAATCTTTTCCAGCACCTTTAGGGAGGAAGATCACCATTTGAGAGATATTAGTCAGTCCATGGGATAACAAGCTTTAACCTCTGTGAAACTAATTAAACCCAGGATCACAGCTGAGCTTGAGTCTTTTCCACCACCCTGAGTGAGGAAGATGAGAAGTTACCACCTTTCACAACTGGCAGTTGTAATTCGATTTGCAAAAAACTGTAAATTAAAGATAAAGTGCATAAACAATCAAGGGTATACATTCATGTACATACATGTAAGAGAATACATTCAAGAAGAGTAAAAGAATTAAACAGAGACAGTTACATTAATGGAAAACAAAAAGGTAAGAAAAATAAGATCAAATAAAATCAATTAAAAGCCTGACACAATAGATAAGCCTTCACTTCCTCTTGAATGTGTTTGAATCATGAAGTGCTCTGAGGTCATCTGGAAGAAAATTCCAAATTTTAAGGCTGTGGAAGCAAAATAGAGCCTCACCACTCTTTAACTGGATGGTGGGTCTTATTAAGGTCTTTAATTTGTAAAATGTATTTTCACACAAATGATTACTTATTAAGGAGCCGCAGACACCCTGGATAATTTTATAACTTCCCCTGTTAAAGGAGTCGCTATATGAGAGAAGGTGAGGTGGCAGCAGTACTGTCCAGCCACCACAAGGTGGCACTGAGGGGCAAACACACAACCTCTGGTATGAGGCAGCATCGCACAGCCCTGCTGCAGATCGTTCTAAGGCTCTGACACACAGCAAACAGTAATGCTCATATCAGTCTATCTTTCTCTTTTAGAATACATCTGTTCTTCTGTGATAAGCTCCCAGCATGTGATCAATCGCTGAAATTATCAGAACAACCAGTGTTAACACTTGTTATGTGTTGAACTGATCTCCAAGGTACACATTATATTCAGTTAAACTGCTATATGTGCTGTTTAAACAGGTTCCAAAAGGGAACTGAACTAACCTGATTCTGTTGTTGACTCTTAGACTTCAAAGGAAAATCTGATAATGTGTATCAGACGTGTAGAAAAGGTCCAGATTTGATTACCTGTATTTACACAGGACCACAGCAGAGAGAGAGCGCCGCCAGCTTCAGAATGACTATCTGAAAATGACCAGAATCCACAAAAATGCATTAGCAAATAAAAGTTTTTTTAATGCGCTTTTGTCTTGATTTGAATCAACTGAATTAATTTACATTGATTTTTACACTTTCCCTTAGGAACAAGTTAAAAATGGTCCTCAAAAATTACTTTCTTGCTTTACAGTAGCTTCATGGCCTTGCTGAGTGGCAGCACCTGTCGCTGTTGGAAAAAATACCTTTTGAAAAAGGTAACTTTAGAGGAGAAGAAAAAATGGTCTTTACAGGTAGTAACCAGATTTCTGCTTTGCAACCAGCCAATAAACTCACAGAAGAAGACGTGACATAAACGTAATGTAAAACTTCATGCACTTTACCTGAAAATATGAACATACATCATCTAGAAGATGAAGAACATTTAAATCCTTAACTTCATTGAGAATGTAGTTGGTTTCAGCATCGCTCCAAAAGTGTTTTGCTGTCGTATCTGCTTGCTTATTTCCGGTCCTGCTGTCTTTTTCACACATGTGCAGACTGAGAAATCTGAAAGAAATCAGAGTAAGAGTTTATATGCACTGAGAAATCTGATTACTGAGCTGAAATCCAGCTCTTTTTTATCAGATTTCTTAATCAGATTTCTAGACCTTACTTCAATTACTGACCATATTAGTAATCACATAACTGCAGAAATCCTGTTATGATCAGATTATTGAGTGCATGTACTGCTGTTTTCAAATCATGTGGAAAATAAAAAAAAAGGTACAAAGTTTTGATCCAACAGCATCATTATGCTAAAGTTTGAACAGCCCTCCTGCTAAAAAGTAACTTCTACTGAGGGTCAAAAAACAGAATAAAACAGAGCCATGCCAAAAGTTTTTGTCAACGTATATCTAACCAAATAGTTTAACTACAGAAATAAGACTAATGCTAGTGTGAGTGTGGATTTAATGCTCGAGCCACAAAGTCACATTGTTGTTTGTTTATCACAGGAATGCAACTTCCTCATACTTATGTCACATGACCTAAACCAGTCATAAGCCAGAATGGATTAATTTTACTAAAATGTTTTAGATTTTTATTCTGCCAGAATGAAACCTTTCAACAAAAGTAGAAAACTTTTAAAACTATTATTTAGTCCATCAGCCCAAATTCAAGTCTCACCAGCGCGGTCTGTTTTATAACCTAATAATAAGCAGATATGAAGAGGTGTGGGTATTTGTACAGCTCCAGTGTTACATGATCTGTTGTAATTATGAAAGGACAGCAATGTGTTTAGTAAACCAACATTAACTATCGATATCGCCTAACGATAAAAGACGATACAATTCAAAATTAATTTTGTATTTATGATAAAGTGTAGTTATAGTGGGCTGGGATAGGTTTTATTAATGTTTTAAGTCATTTATCTGAAGCATGCACATAGGCTGTTATAAAGAACACATTAACATGGCCTAATAAAAAAGAAACCCAACGTGTATCGGTAAGCCTGTAAGACTTTTAATTTCTTAAGGCCATTAAATAGTTGTAACAATTTTCACATTTCCAGCATTTCTTACTTGTTACTGGTGCAAAAACAAAAGTGTTTTACTCTGAAGGAAGCACCATGCAATTTCTTACATTGGTAAATGTTGAGCAATTAGAAATGCGTGTGAAGAATTAAAATGCAAATTATGCGCAACATGGCTGGGTTCTAATAGAACCGAGACATTAACTCCTGATTTCTAAAAAGAATTGATGAATGTATAGCTATAGCAGATCTTTGATTCTAATAGGGCCTGTGGTGCTATAACATGTCTATGATGCTAAAAGGGCGTGTGGTGCTATAACAGGTCTATGAAGCTAATGGGGCCTGTGGTGCTATAACATGTCTATGATGCTAATGGGGTTTGTGGTGCTATAACAGGTCTACAAAGCTAATGGGGATTGTGGTGCTATAACAGGTCTACGAAGCTAATGGGGCCTGCGGTGCTATCACAGATCTATGACGCTAATGGGGTCTGTGGTGCTATAACAGGTCTACGAAGCTAATGGGGTCTGTTGCGCTAACAGGTCTTTGACATTAATGGAGCCTGTGCTGCTGTAACAGGTCTGTGATGCTAATGGGGCCTTTAGTACTGACAAGTCTTAAGCACTTATATGTGGCACTATACTCTGCTAAAATGCACCACACTGGTGCAGTGCAGCAGTTTTGTGATAATTAATTAATAATTAATAATTAATTAATAATTAATAAATTTCTGAAAAAGGCATTTTTAGTATTCTTGCTAGAAATTTCTTTTTTCCTCAGTAACTTCAAAACAAAAAAAAAAACGAACATTTTTTATAAAATCCATTATTAAAAACAAAAAAAATGTTGCCTACCTAGGGAAAAGTATTCCCTAAACTCCTAAAGTATATTACCAGCACTGTATGATGTACCTGTTTTCTTTTTTGTGGCACTGAAGATTTAGATCTTAGAATTTAGTCAGTGTTGAAATCATCAAAAATGGACCATGAAAGTGGCCACCGTTAATGAAACACTGCAGAATCTTGTGCAATGTTTGTCAAATAGAGTGGTTCAGTGGTGGCTTTTGTCAAATGTGAACAATGCTTACTTATCACAGGCTGAGTTTGTGGGTTGGAGTTCAGATGAAGCAGATCTTAGATCTTTTTTTAGTTTTTTTTTTAGGCAGTTCCTGTTTTGAAAGACCCTTTCAGACCCTAGGTCTATAAAGTGGCCCTAGAGAGAAGTTCTGCAAACTGAAATCTAGACTGAAGACAGACATGGCCTCCTTCAAGCTTGTGATCCTTGTATTCCTTCTGCTGCTCGGCACTGGTAAATATGATTTACTAATAGAGATAAGTGAGGATAATGCACTTTTATTTTCTGTTGATACACTGTTTTACTGGCACACTGCTTTCAGAGGCTGTTCAGGAATAAAGCAGGACTAAAACTTACTTGCATGTTTTTATGAACATTACTGTGGGATTGCATGTTGCAGATTTAAAATACAAGCTCAGTCATATTCATAAGAGATGTGCACTCATAGAGAACTGCTGTAACTCAACGAAAACAAATGATTCACAAAGAAAATGCATAGTCAACTTATTTTTCCAGCTGGACATTATAGTCTGTGTGAATACAATTGAACTAGTGTGCAATGTAACTCTAACATTTTAGCTCTGATATTGGACTTACCATTTGATTTTACTCTTTAAGCAGCCAAAGGAAGATTTGTGGATCTAGAACAAGTGCAGGTGAATCTGAAGGACACTGATGATGTTATGGTGAGACACTGATTTACACAAAATAAAACAAGCTCAGCAGCGTTGCATGAAGGTCCTCATTTTCACAAATATCCTTCTATTTGAATAGTGATCTAGAAATAGAGGTTCAAAAAAGTGTTTCTTGTTCGTTTTAAATGTCATAACTTTTTCTTTCTTTTAAATTTTTCAGGATTCTACAACTGTTGTTCATTTTCCAGGTTTAAATGATAAATACCAGATTTTCAATGTAGTCCCAGACTTTTGGACTCCTTTGTATGTCACATACATATGACACGTCTACTCTTATGCTATGCAGATTTGAATTTTATTCATGTAAATTTAAATAAGTGCAAGTTATTTAGTATTTTAAAGCAAGTGTAGCTATTGCTGACATCACACTTCTCATTTTAACAGAGCAGTACTACATCAAGTTATCCCTGCTTTTACTTAAGTGGGTGTTTTGAACACTGGTATGTTTAGTTTAGGATAGTTTATGTGCTCATAATTTGGCAGGGAATTGTTTATGTGCAATGTGATCCAATACCAGCTGTCCTAATATGAAATATAATGTCTATCAGCATTCTGCATTAAAAATTAGTTTTAGTCTAAGACTGAGCTTAAACTGTATCAGCAATCCAGCCTTTTTTTCACTATAAACAGCATCTATGAACCCATAAAATACTCTGGATCTGCTTAGTGGGTTTAGAATTGCATTTCTGACTCCTAGAATAAGAACAGGAAGCTATGATTAACTCTTGAAAGTTAAAACTAATATTATTCGCATACGTTTTTTATCAGAATTTGTAGATTGTAGTACAGGCACCAGTTCAGTTTTATCCAAAGTATCTTGAGCATCTAGAAATTTTGCTTTGGTGTTTCAGGTTATATTAATTGCACAAATGAAGAAGTTGCAGCTTTCGGTCCTTCACACCTCACTGTACTGTGCCCGAAATACACCAACCACACAGCTTTATCATGAAATGCACTAATCTCACTTCTCCTTTACCCCTGCAGGCCCTGCATACTTTCAGATTCAACAAACGAAAGTTTGATAAGATATAATAAGACTTTTACATTCTTTGCTTACCTCTTGAAGTTTATTCAACTTTAACAATCTTAAGGCATTTATTCAGAAAGTATGATTTATTCAGTACCTGCTGATTCATTCAGGATTTGCTATGAATTATTTAGTATCTGCTATGAATTATTGGCTAACTACTATGATTTATTCAGTACCTACTATGAATTATTCAGCATCTACTATGAAATATTCTGCATCTACTATTAATTATTCAGTACCTACTATGAATTATTCAGTATCTACCACAAATTATCCAGAAGCTACTATGAATTATTCAGCATCTACTATGAATTATTCAGGAACTACTATGAATTATTTAGCATCTACTATAAATTATGCAGTAAAAACTATTAATTATTCGGTAACTACTATAATTTGTTCAGTATCTACTATGAATTTTTTCAGCATCTACTATAATTATTCAGTACCTACTGTGAATTATTCAGCACCTACTGTAATTATTCAGTACCTACTGTAAATTATTCATTATCTACTAAAAAATATTCAGTAACTGAACAGTTTTTCAGTATCTACCCTACCAATAATTGTGAGATCAGATTATACCAGAAAAAAATTAGCATAGCACATCAGCTCTGTCCTTCTGTTTATCTTTCTGCAGGATGATGATGCCTGTCAAGACTGCATCCATATTATTGAGCTCCTGAAACACCTGATGTTAGATGAACAGTTTCAGGTAGGAACAATATGTTCATATACAGGTGATGATGCACATTACAGTTATTTTAAAACAAGAAGCAGAGTAAAACCACTGTACCGCGCAGCCTCGAGTGGATTATTGTTTTTATAAAACAGTGACAAACTACAATATGACATAGATAAATACAATAAGACAATGCAAGGTTTTTCAATTAATCTTTCATAAAATACACAATAAACTTGCTAATGTTGTTGTAATAAGAAATATATCTATGGTTGCTAAGCAACTTGAATGGTGTATTAACAAAGGACTCAGTCAGTATATATGAACGTGTGTTGATATTGAGTATTTTACAATAACTTTGAACATGGCTGAACCATGAACATGAAATATCCATTTGTAAAAGATCTTACTGACGTCTACATATACTTTTTTATCTAATTTACCACTGTTTACCAGCAGGATGACCTTCAGGTGAGAACATGAATGTTATTTTGAGGGAAATTTGGGGATTTTAGTCTGATCATGTGATTAATAATTTCCAAACTGCAGGCTGAAACACTGCTGTGCACGATGGCGACTCCTTTTTCCTCAACATGTGTAAAAGTCTCTCTGGTTGCATGACTGTGGTGAAGGGTTGAAAAAATAGAAAAAGGAGAAGAAATTTCACTGACCAGCAAGTGGAGGCATTGCCCTGTTTGGCTGTTCATGTGATTTATCTCTCTGGCTCTCATTCCCAGACTTTAAATCAATAGTTTGGTGATTTATCTCTCTCTCTCTCACACACAATCTAAATCAAGAATTGGATAGTTTTTTATAAATTGTGTCAATCCACAGTAGTAATAGCCACTTCCTATCTCTGTGCTATGCAGAAATAGAAAAAGGAATAGAAAACTGTCCCCACTTCTCTGAGGTGTTTTTGAGGCAGATTGGCTGAAAGTTCTCCCTCACTAAATCTAAATCTTAACCAGTTCTGCCCTGTTTTCAACCTGTTCATTTCCATATAATACCCTGATAAATGGTTCTTGAATTAGATGGTTCTAGGAAGAACATTTATTTGATATAGAATCTACTACTACATAACTACTATGAATTTTTCAATATCCACTATGAATTACTTAGTAGCTTCTATGAATTATTCAGTGTCTACTATGAATTATTCACTGTACACCAAAAATGTTCAATATCCACAAGGAATTATTAAGTGACTACTATGAACTAGTCACTAACTACTAGTAAATACTAACTATTCAGTAAATACTGTGAATTACTTAGTAAAGGCTGTGAGTTATTCACTAACCGCTGTGAATTATTCACTAACCACTAAGAATTCGTCACTAACCACTATGAATTATTCAGTAAATACCATGACATTCACTAATCACCATGAATTATTCACTAACCACTATGAATTATTCACTAACTACTATGTATTATTGAGTAAATACTATGACTTATTCACTAGCCACTATGAATTATTCACCAACCTCTATGAATTATTCACTAACCACTATGAATTATTCACTAACTACTATGTATTATTGAGTAAATACTATGACTTATTCACTAGCCACTATGAATTATTCACCAACCTCTATGAATTATTCACTAACCACTATGAATTATTCACTAACTACTATGTATTATTGAGTAAATACTATGACTTATTCACTAGCCACTATGAATTATTCACTAACTGCTATGAATTATTCACACTATGAATTTTTCAGTAAGTGCTATGAAACTAAGCATAGGTTCTGTATGTCTGTAAGTCTCTGTTATGAGTGTGAGGAATTGAAGTGTGGACCCACATACAAACGTTCTTTAGTGAAAATCATTCTTTTGCAGCATCACTCCAAAGAGTCCATTTTGGCCCCTTTATTTTTAAGAGTGTATCAAAAATGCCTGAGGAGTTTGCTTAAGCATGTGGCTTTGCTCAGGTGAAGCTGAAGACCGCTCTGGAGGCGATGTGCAACTCACTGCCTGATGAAATCTCAAAGATGTGCCATGATCAGGTGGAGAGCAAGCTTCCTCTGGCCCTGACCTTCATCACCAGCCTGATGGTCAGTAAATCACAGATACAGAAAAGGAAACACTTTACATTACAGTTACAGTTTTACAGTTAACAAACGTATAATTTATTACATTGTTAATAAGTCATGGACCACTTATACTTGGAATAATAGTCAACTATAATCACTGACAGTTCAGTTTGTCATTATTTACTAGTTTAGTATTTACACTTTTTTATTTTCAGATTTAGAAATATGCTGCAGCACATTATAAAGTTTTTCAGAGGTTTCCTGGGCATAATTACTGTTGCTAGGCTATGAATGACCAATTGGGTGAACCATTTTGTACACAGAATGTACACAGGACAAAACACATCGGCTTTGGGATATTTGTGTTACCACCGTTTCCCATAGAGAAAAATGGCAGCGACCTTTATTTGGGTGTGTCACTGGCTATGAAATGACGACCTGTTTTAAAAGGTCTGTAGTGTGGAAACAGTAATCAGAGAGCAAAATGTAAAGATGTCTCTTCTAGCATAGTAAAGCTGTTGAATATTTGGAGGTGAAGGGAAACGGCCAGGAAGACAGTGATCCATACAGAGCATAAATATGGCTTTGTGTGGAGGAGGGACCGGTTCGTTCAGCCTAAATGACTGGTACATTTATTACCACAATCATATATATTTAAATAACCTCTTCTGCGCTGTTACATTTAAATAATAAACATACTAGTATCCACAATTTTTCTTCCTCTCTCTCTCTCTCTCTAGGTTCCTAATGATGTGTGTTCTTATATTGGCCTGTGTAATGGCCAGTTGAGGGGCCAGATGCATGACCTGCTGATGAATCACATGCAGAAGACCATCAGGGTCCCCACTGCTACAGTAAGGATGAAACGATGAGCTGAGGTTTCTTTATGACTACACCAGGGGCGGATTACTAACCGGGTCTCTGAGCCTGTTCTCAGGGTTTCTGACCAGCATTGATTTATTATAGAATGACCAGTACGCTAGATGTCTTGCATGACCTACACAACTTCCAGATATCAGCGAGTCGTTATGATGCATGAGCCAGTAAAAGTATAGACACAGAATGTGAAATCCATTAAGAAATGTCTATTTACAAATAATGAACCTAAGTATTCAGTTAGCTGTTCACTGCACTGTAAAGAAAAATGTAAAATTACAGTAAATTACTGGCTTCTACTTGCATTACTTTCACAGTAATTTACTGAACTATATTAACAGTAAATAACAGTAAATTAACAACTGTATACTGTGACTCCACATTCACCTGCACCACCAGATTATTGTGATGTAGTTGTATTCTACTTAATGCTGACAGTAATAAATTAAAAAATAAAATGCAGTAATCTCCTGGATTTTACAGAACAACGGTAAAAGTAATGCAACTCAGTAGCTAGTAATTCCCTGTAAATATTTACAAATTTCATTGTACCAAATGTATTGTTATTGTTTTCTTTAATCTAAATAAAGTAAAGAAATACTAAAATAAAATAAAAGATATGACTCAGATATTTCATAATTAATATAATCACATCAAATATTTTTCCCACAACCCTGTAATCAAATTAACTAGGATGCTCTTTGTGTGAGAAATGTGATTTTACTTTGAGCTGCTAGCAAGCAATGAGGGGAAAGAGGAGGTCTTTATTACCTGGGTTAGGTGTGTTAGATTATGGTTGGAGATACTCTGCAGGGTGTTTGATCTCCAGGATCAAAACTGGGCACTGCTGTACTATGAAATCATGCAAAGAACCCTTTTTGGCTCTTTCATCTTGAAGAGTGCAGCTGTGGTTGAATCGGTTCTTCTTTTTGCTTCCACCTGTAGCTGAACTCCTCCATTCCGTGCACTGTTTGCACATATATCGTAGATGTACTGCAATGTCTCATCCCCAAAACAGAGGTGAGATCATAACAAACACAAACATACAAACACAAAGCAAATGGCAAACACAGTGCAAACACAGAGGTAACTAGTTTATGTGGTTTGTGAGACTGTATGATGTCCAAACTCCTTCGCAGCTCTTTGTTCTTTTTGTCTTTCTCAGACTCTAATAACCACTTTGCTCAGCGACGTGTGCCAGATCCTCCCTCCGCTGGTGCGGGCCCAGTGTACAGGGATAGTTAAGAAATATGTGAAGATGTTGATCAACATCCTGCTGGGCATCATTTCCCCCGACTCCCTCTGCTCTGCCCTGCGTTTGTGTCCAAACATGAAAACGTCTGACAGAGGTTTGAGGCAGAGTGAAGTTTCTTTCATTCGTGTTCGTGTTAAACTCTACATCTGTTGTTAACATGCTTACCTACTCACCTCCCACAGCAGTGCCGCAGTAATCTCTGGAACAGGGATGTTTAACTAAAACTTGGGGGGGGTCCAGTAATATCAGATTTCTTCTGATAAACTAACACAAATGAATGATGATGACGGTTACATTTAGATGCTTAACCATTAATAATTAGTCCAACTAATAAAATAAAACTAACAAAATAAGAAACAGCAAATATATTTTTATAAACTCTTTTTATTTTTATGTATTTTTATAATACTACAAAAATCTAATGAGCATTTTAATATTGTATGGCCATTGGCTATTATTTGTAAAGTAAATACATAAATAAATAAACAAGTCTTTTTGGAAGAACAAAGTCTTAAACAACATTAAACGCTGTTTATTCTTTCTTTTCATAAGGTAAATATTTAAATAAAAATAAAACAACCTTAAAATAAAAAATAACATAGCCTGTACCTAATGGGCATTTCATGCTTTTATAGTGTCAGTACCACTGTGGACAGTAGTTAATGGAAATGGAAAGGGAATTAATTAATTAACAACAACGCTTCTCTGCATTACCTTTACTGGCCACAAGAGGCCACTAAGGTCCTAATTTCAAGTCTTCTGGTGGATCTTTCATGTTGAGCTTTATTTGCCATCAGAACTAAATTGTGCCTGTGAGTTAATTGGAAGCGGTTTGTTTAGCAGTGACACATAATACTTCCACTGTTGACCAACATCACAGACTCTGAACAGATGAGACTCAGTTTTAAACTGGAAATGGGCAGTAAAACGCACAGTTCTCTGTTCAGTCCTTTAAAAACACTCTGAGCTTCACTACTCAGACCAGAAAAAGCAAATAAAACTCCTGCTCTAAAGTGAGATTTCCTATTTTAAAGAGGAGGAAAACCCCCTTCTGATGATGTATCTTGAAGGTAGGAGGAGCTTGTGAAAAACTTTTAGGTGTAGATACTCGAGGGCGAGTTTGAAGTGTTTCTGAAACGTAAAACAGTCTGAGGTAAACAATGCTGCCCTATAGAATATTACAACATGGCAAATAACATATTAACTGTTCATTTTTGGCTGGAATTCCCTTTCAACTTTTTTTTTTTTTGCTTCTCCAGTGAAGTGTCTAGTTTAGAGATGTGAGGTTTTCTTACAAGAGAGATCATACAGTTGTTTGAAAAAGGCAGCGTGAGGACGTCTGCAGAGTTTTGGCCTGCAAGGACTGGAGACTTCTGCACATTTTAATACACAATTACTGTTTGCACTTCTTTCCTGTAACGACATTCTACCAACATAATTCAATTTTAATTTGATTTTTCATTCTGGCACTTTTTCCCTCCTTCTTTCTCTCTCTCTCTCTCCCTGCAGCAGTGTTTGCTCTCTCTGACTGCGACTCCTGTCTGACTCTGGTTGTTCTGACCCATCGGAGTCTGGGCAACAATGCCACAGAACTCCAGGCTGCCTCCTTCCTCCGCACCGTCTGCCAGTCTCACCCCGACGCCCTGCCAAAGGTCAGCCGCAATCCTTCACCTCTGACCTTTCCACCTTGTATGAACTCTGCTCATGACACTTTTCTTTGGGTCTTCTGCAGTGTGAGAGCTTCACTCAGCGCCATGGCAACCAGATTCTGGGGCTTCTGGGTAAAGAGATGACAGCTATGGAAACATGTGAGGTAGTGAACTAGCAGTTTATTGGCTTTTTATTTTGAAAGTAATTAAAAAAACACATTACAACATTACTATGATCAGCTGCGGTGTTTCTCTGCACCACCTGCACTGACCACCAGAGGGCACCAAAGTCTCAATTAAAATGACATACGGTGCTTAAAGACCCATATCCTGCATTTTTCTTATATTTTTTCCCCAAGGTCCTGAGGTAGTGTGGTCATTATCCATTTGTTTATCCTTTACAATTAAAAAAGCTGCTTTTGGTAATGTACCTTTAAGAGTGATGCGTGCAAAATCATATGCAAAAGTTTGGGCTGTCAAATTTATGTTTTGTTGCTTTTTTAAGTGAAAAAATTAACACATCATCTACAGAGAACAGACTTCAGCACATTTTCTATGCACATTTATTTGTTGAATTTAATATACTGGAAAAATAAAACAAATTCTGTAATGTGCAAATCTTACAGTTATGTTTTGTTACATATATTGTTTTTTAACTTACACTCCTTATAACGCCAGGGTAAACAGACAGGGCTAAATTGCTGTAGCCTGAATATATGTGGATGTTAATGAGTTGGATTTTGTGGCATCACAAAAATTCAAAACAGGCTGGTTTTGCAGCTTAGTTTCCATATATAGACTGCATGGACTGGAAAGTGAGCAGTACATTTTGAAACTTTAACAGTGTTTACATACTACATCAGACTCTGATGATGTGGGCCCTTTAATTATTAGTGGATCATGTGCTCACAAAGCTAAACTGATTTTACTATTATTATTTTTTTTCCACTCTTTGGTTCCCAGAGAGCAGATCTATGTGTGAAGGACAGGAGAGATTCAGCTGCTGCAGGTGACCCCTGCACTCTGGGCCCCAGCTACAGCTGCAAAGACCAGCAGACTGCGGAGAAGTGTGGGGTGAGTGAGTGCTGCAATACTGATGCAGCCAGAAATGCAGGAAAGGCTTACATTACAAAGTAACACATAATATTATTAGTTACAATAATAATCCATGGCATGTTCTAGCTCAGGTTTGCTGAATCACTCAGTGTTCCCCCTTTACATTATTAATTCCTTAATGCATCATAAAGTCACTACTTACTTAAAGGGGAACTCCACCAATTTTAAAAAAATGTCTGTGTAATTCAATGGTTGAAAAATAAAACTCATTCAGAGTGGTTTGGTGTGAAATTTGATTATAGAGACTCAGATTTCTTTACAGTGGTGGTGATAGGAACCAGGGGTCGCCATGACTACAACACAAATATAGACATTTTATTTACTATCCATGTTTACATCTTAACCATTCAATTATGCAGGGATTTTGAAGAAACAGTGGAATTCCCCAGCACTGTAATAGATTTCTACACATTTCATTTGTAATTCACTATTACTTTTACCATTTCAGTTGGCTTGTTTAAGACTAAGAAGTCACTGTAATGGAGAAACTTTTACATTATAAAATCAATAAATTCAAAATCTTTCTGTGATCATGTCCAGCGAGAATGTAAATGCTGCCTTTTATGTTTTGTGTTAATTAATTTTGTTTTAATGCAAAAGGGCTACACTGGAAACAAGTTTCCTTCTATGAATATAACAGTCTTGACAGTTTGGTTTACTTGAAAACTAACATAAATCTCCATTAGAAAAGCAGGCCTGATAGTGGACAGTAGGCCTTGAACACTTGTTGAGGAATAAGGGCTCTAAATAACCTCTGTGAAAAAGAGATCATGAAACTAGAGCAGGAAGGAATGGGTTACTTTAGCCCAAAGGTCTTTTCTGTGTTGTAAACGTCCTGCATTTGATGTATGCCCCTCAGATGGCTGCCTTCTGTCAGAAGAACATGTGGAACTAAATGTAAGTTTCAGAAGCCCATCTGAGCTTGCGTTACACAGATGGAGAATTAGAGCATTACGAAGTATCACCTTTAAAGAGCCCATATGCTATTTTTTTCTTGCGTTAAACCCCAAGAACCCTGCCCCCACCAAGTCTATGTATAACTAAATTGGTATTTTTACGTTAAAATTCATTTTTACATGAGTTCATTCTCTCTTTATCGCTTAAAATTAAACAGGCTGTTTTTGTGCCTCAAAGACCCATATATGTACATGATCTCTGTTCTGATTTGCTGCCCTGCATTTCACCTCTTTAAAAAGGCAGGCTAAAACACTTTATAATTTCAGTGTGAATGGGCGGGGCTAAACTGCTATAGGGTGGCCAGGCGGATTTATGTAAATGTGTTTTTTTGACATCACAGAAACAGTGAATTGTTTTTGCAGCTTAGTTTCTCTATTAGGACTGAACCGACTGAATAAACGGCATGTTTCGAAACTTTAGCAATGTTACATTAAAGTTTGATTTCAAAAAAGTAAGGAAAATTCAGTTTTGCATGACATGGGCCCTCTAAAGCTGATCATCATTTGTTTCTTGCTTTATACACATATACATATATACAATATAGATGACTATTCACGTGTCTGTATGAAGTGTTTTTATCATATCAAATATTAGTAGAGTGCACTCAAATATGAGTCCTATAACTGTTTTTCTGGGCTTTCTTTTATCACAGACTGAAGTGCCCTTCACACGGCGGACTTTCAGCTTTTTTTTCATCGCAAACTGCACGTCAGCCACTTAAAGCCTGATGGTCTTACGAAAGCTCTGACCAGCGCTTCACCTCTTCTCCAAAACTTCTATGGTTATATCTACTTTTCTAATCTGGGCTACAAGTTCAATCCGTGTCGTTGCCCGCACCACAAGTCATTCTGGCCTCTGCTATTGCTAAGACAAACAAGATAAAGCAGCTTTGATTTTGTGTGTAAACACGTTCTGTTGGATGAGCCAACTGAGTTTACTATGACCTGAGCACTGTTATTGATTTACCGGCATTCACGTGATCAGGGTTTTTCCTTTTTACAATAACTTGCACAATAACCATTCACACCACTCAAGTCAAAGTCCTGACACATGACTACACATGGCATGTTCAGGCAAACCAGCGTTAAGCCTTCGAAATTCTAACCACCGGACACTGCTGCCACAAGCAGTACCTGACCATTTTTTGCATGTAAACTGCATGATGAGGGCCTACTGAGGGATGTTTCTAGGTTTCTAGCTCTTTTTTTCATCTTCTTAAACTTTGGAAAACCTACAGTGATGTGTAGCAAAGGTACAATTTACATTTTCCAGTAGGTTAATTAATATTAATGAAGATTTTGTACTTGATTCAAGACATGATTGTCAACAGCAACATTAAAGCATCTTTACTAGTGTGAATAAAACTGAGTGATTCTTGGTGGAAACTCTGCATTGCATGTGTTTAATGAACTGACATACAAATATAAATAAAAATAGAACATAAAATGTGGTCTGCAAAAGTTATGGTTTATTTTTTTTCTAATAAATCAAAATCAGCAAATATCAAACTAAAAACTGTGCACTAAAATATGTAGAAAAATGTGCAAACTTTTACATATGACTGTATATACAGTACTGTGCAAAAGCCAGGGGCCACTATTCATTTATTTCCAGTCAAAGCAGCCATAAAGTCATTCATTTCATTAATTTTTCAGCATCAAGGGAAAAAAGATGCAGAATACACATTTTCAACAGAACAGAAAATGACACAGATGCCTCAATAACTAAATATAATAACAGATGTGTCAGTGTTCAATGTGACCACTCTTTACCCTCATTACAGCTTCCATTCCTTTCAGGAGACTCACTTGCAGTTTCTCAAAGAAATCTGCAGACACACCTCTAAAGTTCAGTCTTAGAAGTTGGTTGATCTTTTTTTGCTTCTGTAAAATATAAGACAATGACTCATACAGTGTGTGTCTAAGTATTACAAACTATTCACCAAAAGGTATTTTCAGATATTTTATTCAATATTTTAGAATTCTGTACATCTGTTTACCATCATTTTTGTCAAGATTTGAGATTTGATCAAAATATGACACTCCGGATTTTCATGTTATTGTAACTTTATTCTTGATGTTCTGCAGCGTTCTCAGTCATTTTAGAACGACTGCCAGACCGTCACTAGCTGTTAATCATTCTGGACACACCTAAAACTTGTATTACTGTATTGTATTATTATGTGAAGTAATACAAATTAGTTTTTTTTTAGAAACATCTACCTACACTCATTGGCCACTTTATTAGAAACACCTGCACTGTGTAGATGTACAGTCACAGACTGAAGCCTATCTTTTCCTCCACAGTTTATCAGCCCCATCTAACCTATTCATCATTGTAAAGGGACTGCCATAGGACCACCACTGTCCAGACATTTGGGTGGTGGACCATTCTCAGTGACAGTGTGTGTTGCTCTGGTACGAGTGTCTCACAGTGGTGCTGCTGCTGTTGTGTATATGTCCGGCTCAGGTAACTATGGAATTCAGCTTTTAGTGACAAACATGCTGTCAACAAACTATTGTGTAATCTGTTGGTCTAATGATTCTTCTGGCTCAGTATGGCTTTTCCAGTTTGACCAAGTTAGTTATGTGAACTTGCACAAGTCCTGTAATGAATTATGTGATTTCTATATTTAAAAAGGGCGTTTGTCTTTCCTGCTAAGGCAGCATGTCGAACACCAACAGCTGAACCCCCAGCCCCCGCACTCTCCCTACCCCCACCCCTAAATATGGCACATCTTACTGCGAGATAAATTTCACCTCCTCTAGTTACAGCTGGCTTCCGGCTGCTGCTCTTCTCACTTTAATGTCTTATAGATCACAACAGCATATTCTAGCAGGTCATATGCTACAGTAAATTAAGCTATAAGATGCACAAGAACAGTCACTCATCGCACACCGATCTGTTCCCGCTTTGCACAAGGAAGAGTCATTACATAAATATGAATGCAAAATTACTTGTCAAAGCTCAAAGGAGGAAAAAGTAACAAGCCAAACATATAATTACTGTTTAATAACAGTGCTGCCAGTTACTCCGAAGCATTAATGTGACTTATAAAACAACTAAATCCATGTTACAAAATGTGTTTGGCTTTGTCTTGCGCAACACCTTCCATTCCGTTTTTATGTAACTTTCAACTGAAGGCCTGAGTCTGCAATGAGTTACGTGCACCTTGCTGTATTCTGTTGTAATGAGCAGTATTAGCCAGGCCAAGACAAACTTTGTGTACATGAAGGCTACTGCTGAGCAAAACTGAGTCACAGTTAGCTCAGGCTAAAGATGCTATTGTGAGAAACTCCACTAAGGTCAAAATAACACAACAGCAGCCATATTTACATGTTGTAATGACAGGAACACAGTGACAATGGTGGTATGTCTACAGTATTGACTCAGAACTGAGCACATGGTCACTGTGTCCCTGTCATTCAAATAGGTAAATACTGACCACATGACCAAGGACCGTCCTTTGTGATTACACAGTTGAAAAGTCATAATTCATTGCTGAGAGCAACAAAGTATCAATATAAACCACACGGATGCATTGATCTAAAGGTAATGTTTTAGTTCTGCAGTGGTAGAGTTCATTTCTATTCTTGTAGAACAGGGGTTGCAACCAAAATGTTAAGAAGAGCCATTTTGTCCTTCCAACAAAAATCAAACCACCTTGGGAGCCACAATATTTTATGTCCATTTTATTGGTTTCACCAATAAAATGGTCATCTTGGCTGTAAATATGTCTTATTATCTGCTGGCTAATGTTATTGTATAGGCTAAAAATATAAACAAAAACACAGACTTACTTTGCTCTGCTTTAAGCTTTAGCTCAGCTATAGCCACTTTTCTCGCATCTCTGACAGGAAACTTTTCCTCAAAAATAGAATAGTTTCTTGTAAAATGTCTCTCAACGTTCAACTTTTTACGAGGCTGAAGTCAGCTTCTGATTCGCCAGCTTCTTGTTCTAAATTTTTTGCTCCACCTTAAATGGTGACTGAGGCGCCAGAATGTAACTGCTGCACCATTTAAGGTGGAACGGGAAAATTATAACAAGAAGCTGGCAAATGAGAAGATTTTAGTTTGATAGTTTCTTGTTGCAGACCAAACGTATCAGAAAATGAGCTGGAGTGATTATAAACACTAATAAGTCTATTCGTCTCCATATTATCGATGTTAAATCTTTTTTTGCCGTTTCGCTAGCTACTAGCCAGGCAAGATTGTTTTCTGTGTTGCTATGGTGACCAGTAGTCTGCGCGCCGCTCTGCAGGGTTAAAGGGTGAATTAGCAAATATACATTAACTCCGGCGTTTAAGACCATTTACTGTTAACACTGTGTTAGAATGATCAGCAGAGCTTTATTTTACTGCATAGAAGGATTGTTTTATTATTACCTAAAAACCTGATTCTGCTGTGGAGCTGTAACAGGACAGTAAAAGAGCTGCATGTTGCCGACCCCTGTTCTAGAACTATATACAATTAAATACTGTACTGTGCAAAAGTCAGAGACCACTTTTACTTTATTTAATTTCCGGTCAAAACAGCCTCTAAGTACAGGTTATTCATTTTTTAGGAGATATCTATATCTTTCACAAAAAAATACAGTTGTTAGGAGTTCTGCTTTCTCCGCATCCGGAAGAAGATGAACACGAATTGGACAACCATGTTGTGCCTTGCAACAAATTATTGTTTAAAGAAACTGAAGCCGTTACAATGTGCCAACAGTCACAAGCAGAAACTGGACACCAAATAAGGCCAACAGTGGCCTGCGTAGTAACTGGAGTCTCTCAATTTCCTTCATTGCAGAAATATCTTCCCCACAGCCCCAGGACGTGTGGGCAGCTGAGGCATGCGTTTTCTATTGCGTCTGCCTTCAGAGCCTTCATTTATCAGCCTGGAGTAGGTCCAAAAGAGATATTTGCGGACATAAAGGTTACATTCCGCACGTCTGCATTAAACATCCGACTCAGCACTCGCATTATCACCCAGCAATACCAGGAAAAATCAGCCACGTCTCAGAACCAGCACTGCAGAGCATGCATTCCTTCATGAAGCACAAAGAGGCGGGTCACTTTAACCTCTTACACTCCCTGTTTCCCAGACATGGATTAGGCCTAGTCTTCGACTGAACTGCAGTGCTGATGGTGAATCGGAAATTCTTTTTTGTCTAGGATTAGGCTTAATCTGGGCCTGGGAAGGTCTAAAGGTGTGTCCACACTTCAGTTCTTCACTCTCACAACTACAGAATATTAGTTTCATACACTGTTTACTTTAAAAAGTTGGCAAACCAACTGCTTTTCTTTTCTCTTAGACCATTAACAAAATAATTTTAAGGTAAATACAGTAAATTCTGAAATGTCATTTCTTTTTTTCAAACTTTTTTCAAACTAAATGATCTCAGTAAAATATCAGTTTGTTTAAAAAAGTAAACTTGTTAAAACTTAGTGGTAACATATACTGTTATCATTAACAGTGCAGTAGAGTCTGAATAAGGCTGCAGTCAGGATTGACATCCAAAGGCTTTTTATTCAGTAGGTCAGGGTTCACAACCCAAATATTAAGAAAAGCCATTTTGTCCTTTCAACAAAAATCAAACCATCTTGGAAGCCACAACATTTAATGTCCATTTTACCATCTTGGCTGTAAATATGTCTCAGAATGTGCTAATGCTTTAAGCTTTAGCTCAGCTGTAGCTGCTTTTCTTTCATCTCTGACAGGAAACTTTTCTTCGAAAGTACCATAGTTTCTTGTAAAATGTCTCTCAGCATTTGACTTTTTACGAGGCTGAATTCAGCTCTCAATTTTCCTGTTCCACCTTAAACGGTGCCTGAGGCGCCAGAATATAACTGCTGCACCATTTAAGGACTATTCGTCTCTAAATTATTGATGTTTGTCTCAAATCTATCTCCTTGGCTTTACATTAGCTACTAGTTAGGCTAGATCATTGTCTGCGTTGCTATGGTGACCAGCAGTCTGCGCAGATCTTCAGGGTTAGAATGATCAGCAGAGCTTTATTTTACTGCAATGGAGGATTATTTTATCTTTACCTAAAAATCTAATTCCGCTGTGGAGCCGAAACAGGGCAGTAAGAGAGAAGCATGCCGCTCCGGAGCCACATGTTGCCGACCTCTGCAGTAGGTAAATGGAAAACAGAGCCAAATGATTTATCATTTAAGTTTAAATAAAGAAAAAAACTTACAAATGTATGTAATTACTATGAGTCTCATCTAACAAAAAAGTGCAAACAGCAAACTAACAGCAATATAATATTATAACAGCAATATTATTTGCAGAACATATTTTTTTCACACTTGCCTTCCGCTTAACACCAAATATTGTAGAGAACTGTTTAAAATTTTTCAATCACTGTCTTCATTAATATAAAATCAAGCAAAAGTTCGGGCACCCTGGTCAAATGCCGTTTTGTTGATCCTCTACAGAGAACACACTTAAATATAACATTTGTTTTCACACTGTTTGAAATAAAAGTCTAATTGTGTACCTTAAATAAGTTTTTCCAGGTGAAAAGTACATATTTGTACCTTTTCATGACCTAATGATTTAAAACAGAACAATAAAATAAAAAGCCTGGAGACAAGACGGGGTGTGTGGAGTCAATACAACTTATACAATGTAATTTATATAATGATATATATAAATGGTATATATAAATATAATGGTACTGAGATGTACCCTTGAATGATGAGAAGGGGTACTGCCCCAGTGAGTTTCATACCTTTATTTCTTAGAGTGCACATATTTATGCACAATTATTGTTTATTTACTGAATTTAACATATTGTGGGGAAACATTAAACATAAAAAACATAAAATGTGGCCATATGTTCCCTCCAATATGTTATTTTACTCCGCATAAATAAAAACTGTGCACTAAAATGACAGACAATCATCATATTTAAGTGTGTTCTCTGTAGAGGATCAACAAAATATGTCATTTGACCAGAAGTGTTCAAACTTCTGCATACAACTATATATGGAGTTGTTCAAGGGCCCAGAGCCACCAGGGAGCCTGTAAGCATGTAGCATATATCACTACTGTCAGAACAAAACCTCCTACTTCAAAACAATAACTTTAATAGTAACTATATAAAAGTGACTAAATATAGCAACTTATAATAATATAGTAGTAACTCAAATTTCTAACCATACAGCAGATGGAAGAAACATTTTTAATTTATAATGGACTGATTAATGTAAAAATATTTTATTCCACGCACTTTTGTCCTGACAGCAAATTTATGTTTTAATGGTTTTATATATATATTTATAAAATTTCTTCAGCTTAGCATTTATTGAACTTTTTTCCAGCTCAAAAGTAATCAAGTATTCTTTTTTGCATGCAAAGTACTATGACTGGGTTCACCAGGGCCCTCAAATACTCTGAAACAGCCCTGCTTAACAGGTCAATGAACAACTAGTGATAACAAAATCTAGAAATTGGATTAAAGTTCCACAGTTGAAGACCTCTGCCTTAGTGACCACTGATTGTGTAACTCAGTAGTAAAAATGCCTTTGCTTTAATAGTGTACGAGAGGAACTTCATAGTGGCCCAATACAGGCAACAGGGTCAAATGAACTGCAGCTTTCATTAGCCATTCCTGCTAACATTCTGGTCATACATAAAACACTGGAAATGTTAAAGGGCTCATATCATGGAAAACAAATTTCCCATTTTTTAAAATATGAGTTTGACATAGTATGTAAATTTTGGAAAAGTTTCAGAACACACCATTCAGAGTCCATATTAGCAAACAAAGCTGCAAAAACTACAGATAAACATATAGTGCTGCTCGAAAGTTTGTGAACCCTTTAGAATTTTCTATATTTAAACAAATGAGACAAAAATATGAGACTTGGTCATTTATTTATTGAGGAAAATGATCCGATATTACATATCTGTGAGTGGCAGAAGTATGTGAACCTTTGCTCTCAGTACCTGATGTGACCCCCTTTCTGCAGCAATAACTGCAACTGAAAGTTAAAACTAATATCTTATGTTTTAGGTCAAATTTATGCATATAGAAAATTCTAAAGGGTTCACAAACTTTCAAGCACCACTGTACAAAGATGCTGCATTGGGTTTAGCCAGGCACTTCAACAGCGCAGTCATCTTGGGGCGCCAACACAGCCACCTGACTGCATTCTGTATAATTACAGAGCAGCAGTTTAAGAAAGGGACTCTCTATTAGTATAATTTATACATTATACTATTTAAAGAACACAGAACTCAGGAGTTTGGACAGGTTGATAAAAAGAGGAGAATGTAGCAGTGCTGGTCTGTAGATAGGCCTATAGCTTGTGTGGTTGGCAAAGCGCACACTCTTTGGTGTTAACTGTTTTTTTTTTCTGGTTTTATACTAACCTTATATCATTTCATTACCCATACAGGGTATCTTAACTCAATGTGAACTGTAATTATGCTATTTTATATACACTGATTGGTAGTTTTGCGTGAATGTGCATTGTAATTGCATCCATACTTCCATCCAATCTGGAATCTTTACATTAGACTTGCACCTTCTTACTGTATTTTGGGGGTTTTATAGGCTGTATATTTGTGTGTGCATGAAGCTTGGAAGTAATTCACACACTGATGAGTTCAGTCATGTTATTGTTTCTACTGGAAGGTGCGCTAAACACAGTGCTATCGGTCTTTAATGCTGGGCACAGCCCAAATAAGATGTCTGCTGTTGCTCTGAAATTCTACACTCTCATGTATGCAACAGAAATATATTGTCAGAAATCCGTGCAACCTGGCTACTGATGTATTCTTTACATTTGTTTTTAGCACTCCAGACAGTGTGTGTAAATAAATAGTGAAAATAAAGAAGTCTGTTTGGCACTTTGTGGTTATTTCTACAGACTATTGAGCTCTACCACTGGACTCGGTCATTCCACTTCACATCTCTCATTTGCATTAATAACATATTTGACAATTAGTTTAACATTAATGTCAAGATCATAAACATACTGATATATGTCATCTGCTGTCTCTTCACTCAGAGGGATCCCCTCACTACCTATAAGCATTTACATAAATATAAATGTCACTCAAACACTTCTTATGGCTGTTATCAGCTTCTTTATTTCAATTTGAACAGGTCTTTTATAGCCAACTGTTGGTAACCGATGTGTTTCAGAACTGTAGCTCAAAGACATTTCAGCAATTGGAAAAGCTGAAATGTCTTATGATTAAAACAAAAACATTACAACTACGCCACCTTTATTACACAGACAGATTAAGTAAATTTTGTTTTCTTGCCCCATATTTTTAGATTTAAAATTTTTTATTAAAAACAATTTATTTGCTGTCCTTCACTGAACAAAAAATAAACCTGTCATTGACAGTCAGTCTCATGTCAGTGTTCATGTATAATTTGATATGTCTGTCTTATAGATGATGATGTATAATGTAGTTTGGTTGGAAAATACATTTGTTTCTTACAACATAGAATTATACTGAATTAACTTTAAATTCATTTATCATACTTTACTAGCAGGTGTTAAACCGACCTCTGTCTGTTACAGTGAACCCACCCATGGGGTAAATTGTAACATTGCACTTCCTCGCTTTCTGGGGAGAACTGTTCATGAACGGTAGGTGATAGAAACAAAGTTCAAGTGTTTGTTTGTACATGTACATGTTGCTTGTATAAAAACATGAATATTCCAACTTGAATACTTTTAAAATTATTTCACCAAAACCAAAACGTGTTGACCACTCCAACATTGCGGATACGCAGACATATTGCCTCAGACAGAGAACAGCACGGGGCCCTGCTGGTGATATCCCATATAAATAAAAATAATGTGTGGCCATGACTTAGCAAGCTGTGGGAATGAGATAATTAAGTTGTGGCCACCACTTGGTAAGGCACGAGAACAATATCATGCCTTACTACATCGTGGCCACGCATTAGGATCTCGTTCCTACGGCTTACTTAGTCGGGCCACACGTTATTTTTATTTTTTACAGGATGTCACCAGCGGGGCATCCCGACAACACAACATCTACATATTTATATCTATAGCAAAAATCAGCCTGTTTTGACTTAATTATATTTGTGAGGTCATAAAAGCCAGTACGTATACATATACATATTCTGCTTACATATTTAGCAGTTTA